CACAATTGTGGGTTGCAGACCACATTCTCATGTAAGGACTGCTCTGCTTCACTGTTATAATCTATGCCCACATTAGTGTACATGCTCTCAAAGTATCAACTGAATTTTGCCCAATTGCTCGTGTACTACTACAATCTTTATTCTTTATTCCCCTCTCTTCTCTTGGGCATAAAAGCATTACATGATTGAATAATAATGCTGAGTAAGCATCAGAGTAGAGGCTAGATGAAATAATACGACTTCCACATCAGTATCAGATATCCAGCATCCCAGCTACCCGAGATCAGTTCATATACCTTTAAATAACTTTTCACATAAAACTGAAGACCTGGAAAGATTTTCAGATTGAAGCAATAGGCAACTGTACTAGGCAAATGTTTGTGTAGTGAAGTTACTGCCAAGTAAGATGCTGTGGAACTCTAGGCAGAGTAGATCCTGTGCAGGAAGGGAACAGTAAATGCACTGATTCTTCCACTGTTAATATTCTTTGGACACAGAATGCCAAAAATCATGTTGGATTAACTGGCATGGAAGACAGTCTTAACTGTTTGATGGTAAATTGAAAATCCTGAAAAACTGATGAACCAATGTATCCACAACATGAAAGTTTCAGCACTATACCATGCTGCACCAGGGAATTAAAGTTTGCCCTTTTTTCCACTGCAATGGAGTAAGGCAGGTAGTGGCAATACATTTACGGAGGAAACAGCACCTTTAAGCGTCCCAAAACATCCCACGCCTCACGATCGCGACGAGCTTGCTCCCGGAAAGGCAAACCGGTCGGCACACAAACCAATTCCGCGATTCCCACCTAGGGCCGCATTTTCTGAAAGGCTTCTCCGAAGAGCATCCTTCCAGCACAGGGGACCGGGCTGCCCACGCCGGGCTGCCTGCTGTGCCACGGCACTAAACGCGGCAAGGGCAGCGCCCACGGACCGGGCCACAGGGGCCACCAGGCGCTCTGCTGGGTGAAAGCGAACCAACACACCGAGCACCCACCGAAGCGGCGCGGCTCGAACCCCCGCGGGACCCGCGGCAGCCCCGCCGCGGCCTCCCGCTCCTCCCCCCCGCACGCCGGCTGCGAGCGCGGCCCCGGCGCGGCCCCGCACCCGTGAACGAGTCCGGGTAGATGGACTCCAGCGCCTCCAGCTCGTTGCGCTGCTCCTCGCTGTAGTCGGTCATCGTGGCCCGCCGCCCACGGCCATGGGCCGCCCGCACCGCGACACCGCCGCCACCCGCGCCTGCGTTGTCCCGGCCCCGGCCCGGCCCTTCCTAGCATGCCTCGCGCTCGCGATAGGCGGGGATGGCGCGCTGGGCTGGGCCGGGCTTGGCCGGGCCAGGCTTGGCTGGGCCGACTGACGGATAGAGAGAGAGCGGGAGGGAGGCGGTGCAGCTGCCGTAGCTGGAGGCCTCGCACGGGGAGCCGGTCTGGCTGGTCCCCGGCCGCCTTCCCAATTGCGGTGCCCGCTGCTCACTCGGTTCCAGCCCTCGCTGCCTGGCGCTCAGCTCCCGAGCGTACCCGGCGTGCAGCAGGGATCCTGCTGGCATCGCCCGCGCTACTTCCCCGCCCCTCCCGGGACGGCGGCCTCGGCAGAGCTGGGCTCTGCAGTCCTTGTGTTACACAGACGAGTGATGGTATGGTTCATTCTTGGACGTTCTTCCCTTGAAAATTTACAGGGATCAGCAAACTGAAGGGGATTCAAACCCCTAGCTGAATGGCTCTAGGTGGATGCCATTTCTGCCAGAATTTGGAAGTTTTTCTGATGCAGCTGGTGATTCGCAGCTTACAGTTAAACAGAACCTGCAGGCTTCCCAGGAAACGTTCACCCTGATTTGAGGAGTCCTGTCACATACATCGGTAACATCACCACGATGTATGTGCAGAACAGGAGGCGCCAAGGCTAACGATAGTGGGAGCTGCCATGCTGTGGGATTACCTGCCGGGATGAATTTAGGACTATCCAGGGTTAAACATCAGCAGACCCTGCTGGGTACGTGGTACCCAGAGTAGTTTTAAGGTGCATCACGTTCCTGGCCCCGTGACTGGTAATTTTCCCACAGATTCATTTTATAAGCCCAGAGTTTCCAGAAAACTTTTACCATGGACGTAAGGAGAATAATTTTCAAGTGAGCAGACTGGAATTCTAAGTGGATTCTTGGATTCATTTTAGCAGGCACAGTTTTACTGTTCAACCATACCAACTCATAGATTTGTCTGTAATCATGAATTAATTTGAAAGCTGTGCTTTCACTACCAATCCATGACATGCTTCAAAGAGCTGAGGAGTAAAGGGAAATACACCAAATCACTTAAAATACTACAGCTGTTGTACTATGGATTATATGCTAATATATATTATATGGAATATATGCTAACGAGGTGAAAGTTTGCTAGTGTGTTGGCAGGCGAACTTGACAATGACAGGTAGCATTTCCACTCAGTATTTTAAATTACATGCTGTTATGGAAAATGCAGGGCAAATAGTAATCGGGACAAAATCAGAAACCATGAACCCTAATTTTAAAGTTAAGTGAGCAAGAAATAAAAATAATTTTAGAGCTTATTCTTAACAGCAAATATTGCATCATCTTATAATAGTACTGTAAAACAATAGGAGTGGAAAGGATTCATATAGACTAAAGACAGCAGGTTTTTGTCATTTGGATCCAGACATCAGCATAGGGGTTTTATATCAAAATCTTCAGCTACACAAATTAGTTGCACGTGTTCCAGATTACAGTGTTTCACCTTAAATAAAAAACCAAATGTTTTAAAAATTAAATAAAAAAAAAAAATCAGAAGTTGTGTTTACTACCAGAGGTACTTTGTTTCCTAAGGAGTTCACATAAACAGTTTAGTTCCATTACCTTTTATGAGGTTTGCATGGCCAGATTTTGGTGGCAGGGGCACTGCAGGGGTGCTCCTGTGAGAAGCTGCCAGAAGCTTCCCCTGTGTCCAACAGAGCCGATGCCAGCCAGCTTCAGGATGGACCTGCCACTGACCAAGGCTGAGCACTTTTGGCACAGCAGATTTGAGAAGGGAGAAAAAGACCCTGAGCAACAGAAAGTGCAGCCAGAGAGAGGAGTGAGAGGAACCACTCTGCAGACACCGAGCTCAGTGAGGAAGGAGGGGAAGCAGGTGCTGCAGGCTCTGGAGCACAGATTCCCCTGCAGCCCATGGTGTGGCAGCTGTGCCCCTACAGCCCAGGGAGGTTCTGGTGAAACAGAACCACCTGGAGCCCATGGAGGAGCCCATACCAGAGCAGGTAGGTACTCAAAGGAGGCTGTGACCCCACTGGGGGTCACATGCTAGAGCAGACTCTTGGCAAGACCTGTGGAGAGAAGAGCCCACACTGCAACAAGTTTGCTGGCAGGATTTGTGACCTACCCTGGAACAGGTGGTTCCTGAAGGGCTGCACCCCATGGAAAGGACCCACACTGGAGCAGTTAATGAAGAACTGCAGCTTCTGTAAAGGATCCACACTGGATAAGTCAGTGGAGGACTGTCTCCTGGGAGGAAGTGCCCCATACTGGAGCAGGAGGAGAGTATGTGGAGCATTCCCTCCAAGGAGGAAGGAGCAGCAGAGACAATACATGATGAACTGACTGCAGCCCCCGTTCACTCACAACCCCTGCACCACTGGAGGTGAGGAGGTAGAAAATTTGTGAGTGGAACTGAGCCCAAGAAGACTGTGAGGAAAGGTACTTTAAGATTTTGGTTTAGTTCTCATTATCACACTCTGATTTTATTGATAGTAAAATAAATTTCTCCAAGTGGATTCTGTTTTGCCCTTGGCAGTAATTGCTGAGTGATCTCTTCTTGTCCTTATCTCAACCCATAAGCCTTTCCTTATATTCTCTCTCCCCTATCCAGATGAGGAGAGGAGTGACACAGCACTTCTGACTCCTGCATTTTCTAGTAGAGTGTACTAAATAATTAGATTTTTCCACTTCAAGTCCCTGGGGTCATTTATTAATAGCAGAGAGCATCATATAGGGTAGCATATGGCTTTGGAGTCCACCTGTACATGTGTACATGGCAAGGTAATACAGGAAGCATTAAAAAAAATTGTGGCATGCATTTCCCTCCCCCTTGGAGTTAGAAACATCTGCATAGAGGGTTAGAGAGGAGATGAGTAATATCACATAATACCAAACTGACTTAACACAAAAACATCATAGAGCCTTCTTTCACAAAATTCAGTAATTTTTAATCACAGTAATATTCAAGGGCCCAGTATATATAAATTACAAGCTTATTAAATTACAAGTATATACATTACAAGCTTACAGAGGCAAAGCACAGACTGAGATTTTTCCCGTCCTCATTTGCTATTTGTACAGTAAGCAAGCACACAAACACCTTGGAGATTAAGTATTTCCAAGTAGGAGACTGACCTTGCTATTGCCTTCCGCCAGAACACATTTCAAGTTAGTTTGCCATTTGTCAAGTGTTTGTTCATACAGCTGCTATGTATTACACACCTCCATCACGTGCCTCAGCAAGGATTTTGTCTCCTTATCAGAATTGAAAGCTCTCTCATTGTTGTATCTAAACTCTACCTTTGATAAAATTTCCCCATACGTTTCCTACATACTACTGCAGCCCCAGACTTAACTGGTAGTTAGCTCAGAGTAGATTACTTATATAATACAAGAAAAATAGTGGGTGAGGAGAAATAAGTCATTTCTGCTAGGTGTCACTAAGGAAAAGCTGGATAGCTGCCCTTGCTCTATACAGAATGGACCAATTAATAGGATCCAATCAAAGTCTACCTCTTAAAGATCCTTTTAATGGAAAGAATAAAACAAAAACCATTTGTAAATAACTTTCTCAGTACGTACTTATCCTTTCAGCACAACTATTAGAAAGCAGAGAGCTGAAGCTTGAAATAGCCCACCCTAATCACCACATCCCACAGGAGTCCAAATGCTATCAGTAAAAGCATCTATAAGCAGACGCTAAAAGGACTGCATTAACAAGATGCACTTGCTCACATAATTTATACATCAATGTTATACTGTATCAGAAAGTTCCAGCTCAGGTCTGATATAGAGCTAGACAGGTTCCTGCTTTTCGGCAGGGTATTGTGGGGGGTTGGATCTTCAGAGCTGTGTTATGATTCCAGGGTCTTCATCAATCCTCAGATACTTTCCACTTGCACGCTCCTTGAGTGCCCAGTCATGGAGGAGGCTGTAATCATAGTGCTCCTCATCCACTCGTTTTAGAAAGGCCAGTCCAGAAACGGCCTGCCACTCCTTGAGAGATGGGATACGAATCTCTTTTACAGTCTCACTTCCTGGGAAGAAGCCAAAGAACTTCCTTACATTCTGCATGGCATAGAGCCTGGAGTGCTGATCTGTGGCCTCATCGAAGAGCTCCTGCTCATTGTGGACATAGCTGTTCCAGTATCTGAAATGTAGAAAGCTGAGTGGGGAGAAACAGCTTGCCAGGCAGTAAGAGAGGAACACAGTGATGACCACCACAGCAATCAGAAGCCAGCCAGCCACCTTGCAAAAAAAAAAAAAAAAAAAAGGAAAAAAAATAAATAAATAACTGTTAAAGCAGAAAATACTCGCAATGATAACTTTTGAGCACCAGAAAATCCAAGAGATTATCTTTACTTGCTTTTACTAAATAATAACATTAACAAGGTATAAGCCTAGAAAGCATTTGTTACCACCAAACACAGGCCATGCCTACTGGAGGCAGACATGTAGTAAAATCTCTTGTTCCTTCAAGTTCAAGAAAGTTCTATTGTGCAGTTTTAAGAATATTGCTTTCTCAGCTATTATTGTTATAAGACAGGCCACCCAGGTCCTAGACTATATTAGCTTATAGCCTGTTTAAAAACTGTTTGCTCTGAAATAGCAACTTAATGCTTCCCCTATTATTTACCAAGTATGCAAACTTTTAGAATTGAGTCTGATCTAACACCCAAGATTTTACGTGGGTTCACATGAAGCTCTCACAGCCTGGGCCTCTAAGTCACATTTCTTCTGCTTTAATGAAGAAACTTTATACCCTCCCTGGCTCTTGAACTTCCATTTATCTTACTTGACATTAGTTTTCAGGATACCACACAAGGAAGACTATATCCTCAGGTAGCAGATAACAAATGGGACAAGCAGATATAGTTATTTATATACCTAAAGTTCAGTTTCACTTAAAAGAACAGGCTTCAAAACACACAGATTTAACACTCAAGACAGAGAACACTGATCTTGTTTTATCCTAATGCTTTTCCTGCTGAATTAACTTCACTTCTCATCATCAGATTTACAGGCAACAGAAGCAACAGGAGTTACTCACTTGTGACTGGTATCGGAGGAGCAGAATCACTTCATCTCTTGCCCGGGTCAGCTCTGGAGGAACCAGCTGGCTGCAGGGAAAGGTAGCCAATATCCTACTGCGCTCACTAGCACTAACATTAGGAGCAACTCCATAGTAATACACAGGCACATACTCGCTCACAGCACAGATATAATATGAGCCATTTATCAGGGTGACTGCAAGCCATGTGACTGGAGCAACCAGTGCCCTCCCAGTGATGCTGCACAAGACAAAGCAGACCAATTTGCATTTCAGCAACCAGTTTGATGAAATCACCTTCCCAAAATGAGACCTTTTGCCCATAACCAGCCTCCAAGTCTGGTTGTTCAGGGCGTAGCCAACAATCAGAAGGATCAGTGCAGGCACTCCTAGGAAAGCCAACCCATAGATAAGGTTCTGTCCAACATGACAGGGACAGCTGAATGTGAAAAAAGAGAAAAGTTGCTGCCCACCAATTGTCAATATTGCAATTATTGCATTGGCAATAACAACCTCTTTGCCTTTTAGAAAAGTTAACCACTTTGGAAGGAAAGCCATTTTAGATGCTATTCTTTACCAGATTCTTTTGATTTAAGTCAGCACTAGCTTTTAGTTATATTTAACTAGTATTAATGGCAAAGCAGAATAAGCACCAACAGCTTGAAAAGAATATCACCAAACACCACCAAAAAAACCCTGCTAATCTTTTTCCTCCCACTATTTTTCAGTGGCTTGTTTGCTGGCTTTAAGTATGCTTGCAGACATCCACTGATGTGTTTTAATTGATTCAGTAATTTATTTCAGCTGTTCTGGAAAATTGAGCTTTTTAGGCTGTTGTGAGCTCTGCCAGCTCATTGCTAATTGTCTGAAATTAACAATAAATTCCCCCTTCCTTTTGGATGACATGCAGTGCTAGCAAACTGATGGCTAACCTGTCAGGGTTAATTGCTAAGCTCTTTGCTAATCAACAGTAATTAGCAGAAACATGGCATGAAACGAGGAAAAAAAAAAAGAAAGGAGCCTTCCACTATTCTTCATGCAAGATCATTCAAACAAATCCTTGGCAAATTGACTGATTTTTAAAAAATGAATGCTTCCATGTTAAAATAAACTTATAAAATATTCCATAAGTTGAACAACGTTTGGAATCCCAGTGCTGTTTGCATTTGATCTCAATTCTGGGGCAATTAATTGTCCAAACACTGGAGTTTGAGAAGTAGTTAGCTGCTGGATCATGAGAATTTCAGTGTTTCACCTGTAGGTGGCAAGAAGCTGGCGTGTCTCTTTTCCTGGCAGTGCTGACTATTTCCTTTGGAAAGCTGGTTGGGGGTTTTGGGGTTTTTTTTGGAGAGGGTGTTTGTTGTTTGGGTTTTGTTTGTTTGTTTTTACTATATAATCTACTATTCACTTCACAAAACGTTAAGCAAGCTGGTATTTATATGGTGTGCTTGTGATTGCAAGTTTTAAGATTTTCTACTGGTATAGTCGGTCCTATTGCATAGACAAAAATAAAAACATTGCAATTAAGCGTTTCCACAGCTGGCTTCCAGATATTGGGATATGTGACCTGGGCTCTGAACATCTCTCACAAATCAAGCCTTAAGCAAGGGTCTAAAAAATTGAAAATATTTCACTCTTGATGATTTTCTCTGGATTACACTTTTTCTAAGGCCACACTATCCAGTAGTTCTATACATTGCATAGCCTAGGCTTATCTGAATATGCAAATACTTGTGTATAAGTACTGAAAAGTCTGACAGTCTGTCATATAAACATTCTTACCAAGAAAAAAAAAGTTAGCCAGAAAGTTTATGGGGTTATTTGTCTTCCCATTACAGATGCCTATCTCCAGCATGTGTGGACTGGGTTGTGTGATCTGGTAGTGTCTGCATAGCCTCTTCTATCCCCTTGCAGAGAGGGTTGCTAATGATAAATTTTATCTCAGTGGTTTTAGCACCCATGGTGTTTGCTTGGATGGCAGAGACATTCTCTGAGCTGTTTGCCACAGGGATGGCACGTTATGCATGCCTTGCCTGTTCACTAGGCAGGACCCTGTTCCTCCAGTGCACTCATAGGGTGGACAGCCACTTGTCTCGTCCCCAGTCACCAAATGAGGAAGAGGTCCTTGCTGGTAACTGGCTCTCAAACAGTGTGACACTGTTACACAAAATTAAAAGCAGTGCAGAAATATGCTGAAACATCCAGCAGCACTTTGTCACAACTTTTCTGGAACTTGTTAAGTTCTTAATTGTTTGGACAGAGTAATAGCACAATGAAATCCCAGAGCTGTCTGAATATTGCCGTTTTAAACCTTCATTTTCTTTCAGTATCACAGGATTTTCAATAACTTTTTTTGGTACTAGTGACATTAAATTTGAAAAAAAAAAATCAATGAAATAAACCTATGAGGCTATCACAAAATTATTTTATAAGAGTCTTCTGTTATGCTTCAGTTCATTTTAAAATCTCTGATTGATTCCTTCTAAGATTTCTTTTGGAACCTGTGTCTTATTTTGTTTATAAGGGAGGAAAGCTCTCCCAAGGATCACTTGTTTACTCAAGAAACACATTAGATGTGAAACTGAAGTGGTATCCAACACTGAAATATTAATAGTCAGCCTAAGGCTGTTGAATGAGGTAATTTATAAAATCAATACAACAACTTTGTACTTCTGCATTTTCATTCTTTGGCATTTGCTTTCATGCTCTGCCGTAAATGATCCTGCTGGGTCATCCTATTATGGAACAAATTACAGGGTAGGATCCAATTAAGAGCTTGGGTGGCACATCAAACCTTTAAGTACTTGCCTTTGCAGAGGAACCCAGGATCCTGAGGTAGACATTTAGGCTCTTTATCCAATTCCCAGGAAGAGTTAGGACTGGATGCAATCCAAAATACCACTACCTGAGGTGACAGCTGGCTGGCCTGTGAAGCAAAATGATGCTTATAGCTGACATCTGAGGCAAATAGGATCCATGAGCAAACCTTAGTCATGGTTTTGCTTTTCATATTGCAGGACTCTGTCAGCTTGAACTCATTGCCAGTAACCTCGCTTATGAGAAGGAGAGATTTTATTATATAAAATATATATAATGTATAATATATATTATATTAGAATACAGATTTCACCTTCCCACACACAGCAAACAGTTTTTATTCTCCTTTTTATTGAAATAAAGCAACCATGGCAGAATAGAGAGATTGGTTTCAGCTTCCTACTCCACCTGATCTAGTAAAAACTCACTCCCTCATCTCTTTCTTCCAAAAGCTCAGTTATTATTAGTGACGAGATGTGACTGTGCTGCAAAGAAGCTGTGTTATCCAGCTTTCCTGCCATAGTTCTACCAGTTTCACTTTGTTTCACCACAGAGTGGATTTTTATATTTATTGGATCAAAAAAAGACCAGGATTTTGTTTTCTAATGGCCAGGGAAACGCAGGGAGGAAGAAGAAAGTGATCTTCTATTTTCCATCTGAATTTTGGAGGAGGAAACTGAATTCTGGTCTCTCTGACCCAGCACACGTTTTCATCACTGAGTTAGCAGTCAAAAGGCCAATATTCTGTGCTCCTCTAACTGCATTTTGAGTTGTCTTTTCCTTGGATGCAAGCCCACCTGTGCATGTTAGAAAGCATGGTATGAAAGTACCTGCATGACGGATTTCCTGTGGGAGTAGAGAGGAGCACTGCCCATGTCCTGTGATCTGCCAGGTCACAGTCTGGATGTAGGCTGCCAAGTCATTTTCATGGTCTCTTTGGCCTTTGGAGAAGTTCCTGTCCCCGTAACCAGGACAAACATTGGTGGAAAAAAATAAGCTTTATGTTAAGGGAAGAATAGAACTCTGTTAATTTTAAAAAAAAAAAAAACCCTACATATTTCACTTCAGAATTCAGCTGTGCATTATAGGCAAATTTATGAGATTTTAGATTCCTGCAGAGAGCAGAAAGGAGGCACTCATCTCAAAACACCCTCTTGAGAAACATAACCAAACCAAGGAAGTTTCATCAGGTAAAACTGAGAATGCTTCCCAGGCAGGGCATTACAGCAAGGTGACAGTAATAGCCTTGCTTTATTTGGAAACACAGTCAGAGCAGCAGCCACACTGGGCTTTTAGTAAAAGCATTCATGTGTGATATGAGAAACCTGTGTTCAAGTTCTTTTTTTCACACAGCTTCAAACCTTCAACACCTACCGTCTTGTGATTTGAAAGAATTATATTTAATGTTAGAGAAAATTTAATACAAGGTCTATCCATCTGGAAAATGGCAATCAAACAAAAGCTTGACCCTGTATTTTACTAATTTGGACACCTGCCTTTTGTGGTTAATGCATTCTTGTTTTGGCTCAAAGAATTTGTTCACTTTTTTTTTTTTTACTTTTTCATTAGACAATATCTAATTTATTAATTACTTCTATGTTGCACTTATCATGTACTTACCTCTACAGGTATCAGCCTTCCCATAATAGCCAGTCCATTGCAAGAGACAGGGTGCTGGTGCATGCTTTTATTTGTGCTTTTGAGCTTCAGGATGTATTTTGTGGTTGGTTTTTTGTTTTCTAGTTTGATGGGAATGAAGAGAACTGGTGTAGTAAATGCTCAAGCACTGTGAAGACTGACCTTGGGGCTGAAGGCTAAATTTCTCTCCTGAAAAACAGGACAGAAAGGAAGATATGAGAAGTACCTACCATAGTTTCACTTATAAAATGGAGTAAGGTTTTAAGGGTCAGCAGAGCAGCTGAAAAAAAAAAATGAAGAGGCTATTACATTGAACTAAGCCTGGATGTTCATTGCAAGAATATTAAGAAATAGGGGCTATAACAGGTTAAGAATGATAGAATACCCCCTAGGAACATTGTTAGTAAAAGTGCCTTTTGCACAAACTAGCAGCTGTACAGGTACAGAATTCATTACTCTGGGATGCTGAGTTCTCTCAATCTGCCCTGGCAGCTTTACACAAACATGGTGGTAGCAGTGCCTTAAAAGCCACACTTCTCCAGCTTAGCAGACATTAACTCACCAGACTATAGCAGAGCTGGCAGAAGACTATAGCTTCTTTAGATTGAAAACAATCAATTTTTATTTCCCTTGTACAGCAGTAGCTTGCAATTATGTTTTTATTCTTCAGAGCAGAAGTTTTTGTTAGCTCTCCAAACACCAAAGTCTGATACAAACAACAGAATAAATTTACTGCCCCTAAAAATGTAAGACCTGTCCTGTCTGATTTCCCATGTCTGTTGGCCGTGTATTTGATTACAAACCATCCCAATGGACAGGGTGATTGTTTATGTTGTGGACAGTGGCAGATCTGTTGCCAGTCAGATTCCCAAAGGGCTTGGTGCACGCAGAGAATAGGAGGGGCATCAGCAGCAATACAGACTGCAGCAAACACATCTCAGGCAAAAGACAGAAGAGCAGAGAGGAGAAGAGAAAAGAGAAAAAGGATTAAGAGAAAACTATGCTGCTTGAGGAAGAAAAGATATAAACTGACAATCAAATACATCAGGAGTTACACAAGCAACATGTCTCGGTCACCAGGAAGAAAGCAGGAGAACCACAAAATAGTAAGACATTTTTGTAATGTGTTATTTAAATTGTGCATGGAGTAAGAATAGCCCATTATTTTATTGATGCATTGTATACTCTCCTATTTTTGAACAATTTGAAAGTACCAAAAAGACAGGGATAAGATTGGTGGTACAAGAGCAAAGCTGCTGGCAACATTTATGGCTGCCATTCCTAATGCTGGGATTCTGTACGGCTTAGGAAAGAGGGGCACAAAGTTCCTGAGACTACAATCTGTTCAGAAGCAGAAGTCTGCTTCAAGTGTTTTTGGTCTAAGATACAAATGCCAGGTAATATTATGTACCTCTGTGGTTAGATAGTCATTCAATGAAACACGGAGAGAAGGAGATCTCTGTTCTATGCTTGAATGGTTCAATTCCACACAAACCTTTCTTCAGGAGTTTAGAGCGTTAGGGCTTTCTGAATGGTGAATGGTGATTTTTGACAGCAACTGGGCAGTGGAAAAATTCCAGGAGGCTTTAAGACAATGTTGTATCAATTTCTGAAAAGAGAACAGAGGTCTCCACTGAAAAATAAATGGAATAGTGTAATATAATTACAGTTAATGTACCTAAGTTTATGATCAAAAAGTATTCCAATGGATTGCAAGTGTGGCTGATAAATTTGATTACATTGATATATTATGTTTAAGTTTCTCTGAGGTAATTTTCTTGTTGCAACAGAGACTTTTTGCTGAGCAATAATAACAAAACCATACAGGACCTGTATGACATCCATTTACTCCATTGAAAACTTGTTACTGAGAATTTGGCCAAGAGTAAAATATTATTTTAAACGGGAGTTATCACTAAAATGAGTTTGGAAAATGGTTCTGCTTAAGATTTTGAACAGTGACTTGATTAAACAGCAACACTGATTAAACTCCAAACTTCTGATGCAAAGGAAGCAGGAAGAAATCTTTCCACCAGGCTGTTTTTACTTTGCTAGTGTGATTTGTTCTATTTTTTTTATTGCTATTTACTATTGTTTTTCCGCTGGCTAGAGACAAAAAACAGCTCTGGTCTGACACATGCCACAGGGCTGTAGCACTTCCTTCAATTAATTCCTGTCCAAGAAGTTTTGTAAGACTCATCTTAATCTCTCACTTAAAGGCCAGCTGCTGCTCCTGCTGAATACAGACAGTTCTGCAGTGCATGGATGTGATCTGACAGGGCAGGGAGAGAAGGAAACTCCTCCAGATTGTTACACAGCTGAAGACCCTGCAGGAGTGCTTGTGACAGGATTAGTGCAGAGATACATCTTTGGCATCTTCAGTTTTTCTCCGTGTTCCTTAGGCAAGGGGCTGCAATTCTCACCATCCCCTTGTTGTTATTCTTTACACTTGTGATGAATTACAGTACTTTTTCATTACTCTGAGCTAAATTTTTATCTACTTTTTACTTTTTTGGAGAAAGCAGCTAATTATTTGAATCAGATCAACCCTACCTTTGTGAACTATCGTGCCTACTGCAAAAGGATTAATAGCTCATTGCCTCTTTCCCTGCTGGTGTTTGCTATTATTCTTGGGTAGCACTTGACAGCATTTGGCAGTCCGGCATACATACACTCAAGATGCAAGAATTACTGATGATAGTAACTCTGAGTATACCAAGAAATTGTACTTCTGACAAGCAAATCCCTTACAAACTCAAGTGAAGATCAATATAGATTCTGTCCTGCTTGAAATATGAATTTCAGTGATTATGCATTCATGGACAAAAGTTTCTTTATTAGTTTAAATGTCATTTTTGTTTGCTTTCAATGAGCAGCAGCTCAAAAACATGGAAAAGTTGGATTTTAATTTGCTTCATTTTCAATTTTCATATTTTCTAACAGAGCAAAGAACTTTTTGTACTCACATATGGGGCTTTGGTAGCCCAGCTGTGCAAGGACTATGAAAAAGATGAAGATGTCAATGCCTGTTTGGATAGAATGTAAGTGCTGCTTTAAATGTTAAGTTTTGTCCATAATGCTATTTGTTTATGTATATATTACCTTTCAGCTTTTTGTTTGTTATCTCACAAGTTCCAGCATTCTATCTATAGTTACAGAGAAGACAAGGAAAAGGTTCAATATTCTGTCAACAGAAACAACACTAATTTGTGAATTCAGATCTACAATTAGCTTTTTAATTCTCTGAGGAAAAGTGTCAAGATTGTTTTCATAGCTTACATTTGTTCCTTGCTGGTCCTTTAATTATACTGATTATTAATATGGCCTTCTAAATTTCATATCCTATATCCTTCACTGGGTTAGGGGCATATGAGCCTTTCACATTTAAAAAACCATACAGCAATGAGTGAGATAGCACAAAAAGTCAGTGAAGGTGGATTTTACATGGATAATCTCCTTGGAAAATGAAGATCCAGTGTTTACAAACCCTGTCATCCTGACTGAGATTCCTAGGCATTGCTACCATAAAAATAACAATATAATGGAAAATCAGCAAGAAACAACTTTTTAGCTGGTTAACGAGAACATATAGTAAGGCCTTTGTCAGAACAGTAAGGCTTATATTTCTGGGCAAAGTGGACATACAAAATGTATTTACAACAACCACAGTGGACAGAATAACCTGACCACTTTACTATTAACCTCAAAGTTTGCAAACTGGCTGTAGTCCAATAACTATCCATGAGAGTAAATTTTAAAAAATCATTGTTTGAGAAATAGAAAAGTAATTTTATTCACAAACTTATAAGGGATAACATCCCTCAGATAGATTTTTATATTCATCTCTCATTCAGCTCTGGGGAAAAGCATGTATTTAAAAAATACATAGGCTTTTTCAATGATGCCATGGTAGAAATTACTAGAAAGCAGTTTTGGAAGACGTGGAGACATATTTTTCTCCTTAATGTTTTCATTATTGCAATTGCTCCTGTACAATCTTTCTGTTTTGAGGAAGACTTGATAATATAATGACAGGTTTCATTAAAACAGTGTGTTCTTTACTTCTCTGATTATGAAACAGCCCAGCTTCACAAAGAAACCATCTCAGCAGACAGGTGTAACAGGCAGGGACAGTGTACTTATCTCTCTCTCTGTGTACATGTATAGTCTGTAGTGAGAGGGGTGTTTTTCACTGTGCAGTTGCCAAATAGCTGCTTACCAATCTGTTATTAATTTGACTTTGCAAATCTAAATAATAAAAGTTGAAATGTGTCTAAGTAGTCTCATATGTGACTAATACCTACCTTGCTAAATGCTAATGACACATTTGCCAGTGTTATTGATATTGATACTTAGGCAATTGATAAATATTTGATTTTTTCTAGACACATGACATACTGAAATTTTAATCTTCACGCTGCCAAACCCTTTTTTGGTCTTATCATCATCTCACTGTTTTTCTTCTAGCCAAAGATGTTGGACACAAATGAGTAAGAAACTCCACTGAGTTTGGGCTGCTTCACTGAAGGTGTAGGGCTTCTAACAAACAAGCACACACTGCTAATATTCACATAACTGGGAATGAAAAATTTCCTAAAAACATTTCTGAGTACCCATTCTTATATAACATTTGTATAGATCTCTTTACATTTTTCAGATAATGTTTGGAATCACAGCTGTTTTGCATACTGAGAAATTATTCACCTTTATTAATGTGTCAGAATTAGGAATGAATATTTGTTTTGTAAAAATTCCATTAACTTCCATCCCTCTTAATTAGTTTTTAAGAAAGCATTGTAGTATTTTAAACACAAAATGGAGGTGGTGGTGTACCAAAACTGTGTTTGTTGTGGTAATGAGTGACACAGGGAGCTCAGGTGGGTACAAAGGAATGCTCTTTATTGCCAAAAACCCGTCTTTTAAGCAGTTAGCTGGTTATCAGTTTACATCGTTTTAAGGAACACCAAGCCCAAGTTAACCAAGCACCATGCAGCACGATGTGGACATGCAGCAGTCCCACAGCACGGCTCTCATGGCTCTCACATCTCTCGTGTTCCTCTACCCATATTCCAGCTGAGCCACTCCCCCATAGTTCCTGTCTATTTAGCCTCAGTAACAGGCCAGGGCCATGTTACCAGGCCTTCCCTTTATAAAGCCTTATCTATTGGTAGAATGCATTAACTAACAACTTCTGGATTTTTTTTTTTCATCAACTGGTTAGATGAAAGGAGATAACAAGTTAGAAAAAACAACAGACAGGTAATTGTGAAGGAAGAGTGAAAAATGAGGTGAAGAGGTAAGAGGAGAAAGTGAAAGAGATCAGGTGTGACTGTATTTCTGTATTTCCTATGGGTTCCCCTGGCACCTGAATGCTGCAGTGAGGGTGCCCAGGATTTGGTGTCTGTATGTATAGACAACATAAAGACAAACAGTATAGACAATCCATATCATCCTTCCCAGGAGTACCATGCTTAAAGAAGTATGATTCCTAAAATGACTACACGAACAGCAGTCCCACTGTGCTGCAAAATGTGGTAGAAAGAAGAATGTAGATCAGCAAAATGTGTTGTCATTAAAGTCACTCAATTAGGACCATGCAGCTGTTTTGCTGAGGAAGTGCAAGAGATGCATTAGGGAGATGGCAGGTGGAAAGAAATTCCCCATTTAAAATGTTGCCTTTCCTTGTTTCCTCCTTAGGGGATACAGCATTGGTATAAGGCTGATTGATGACTTTTTGGCTCGTTCAGCTGTGAGAAAGTGCCGCAGTTACTCTGAAACTGCAGACGTGATTGCACAGGTAAATAAGATTTGCATTTTCTGAAGCATTATCAGATTCAGTGGTCTTAGCTTAGAATCATATATTCCCTTCCTTTTTTCTTTTCCTAGGAGCATAACCATCTCATACAGATATTAAACTTTGATATTTTTACTTCTGCCATTTGACTCTTCTCATCATCACCATAATTATCCAAGCTATCTTTTTACTTTGAAATGATAATGTTAAGAATAAGCTGCAGGATTTTCTACAAAAAGAAAAATCTTAGTGTTAGCAAAGAAGAACTGTAAGAAACAAAAATGAGAGGAACATTTCCCCGACTACCCACAAATCTAATAATAAAATTAAAAATATAAAATCAGCACACATACTTCCACCTACTTGGATGGAAATTTCCCTTTTATTGAGTAGCCGTTCACACTTCTGTCAGACAAGAAGGATACAGGTTTCTAAAGATGTACTTTTGCCCCCATGGACAAGTTAGAATTCCTGTGAATTTCAAAGAGGAATTTAAATAAGAATGATACATAACAAAGTTCCTCCCAATAAGCAGCTGATCTGGGGTAAAGGATCCGTTGGAAATAGTGAAGACAGCTGAATGAAACTGATGAGACAAGCAACATTTCAATCACTGTTTTAAAATACACTACCTCATTTTAAAAAATGATACCAGGCTGCAGAGTTACATTTTTGTTCATGTTTACATTCTTCTTGAGGTGGTATATTGGTATTTCATTTTCACATATATGTCAGATACCTGTTTTTCTGGGTCTTATTCCTCATAGTTCCCTTCTTCATAAATGCATTATTACAGTTGAACCATCATTCTTAAGTACAGGGTGTTCAACAGCAAAGTACAATGAGAAATTAACAATGGAAAAAGACACTATTTCTCTGCAGCTTGTACTTCCAAAGAGAGTTATTAAAAGAAGTAAAAAATTACTTGGAAAGATTAGAACAAACATTAAAGTACACACTGTCCCTTTGAAAGATTATTTTTGGCAAACTAAAAGGAGTTCTGTAGTAGGAGTATAACTTTTCTGAGGCAAAATGTGATAGGGACAGCATTTTCACATTTCTTTGGCAAAACAATTTTTAAATAATCTTCAAGCGTATTTGTCTGAGTCACAAACCAACAAAACATGTCTAAAGTGACCCAGTAAGTAACTGCAAATACTCTATTGAAGTTTTTAGTTCAGAATCATGAAGGTGTTTACATGATCTCCTTAACTCTTCAGCAGGAGTGTTCCCAGGCAGGAGAAAGTGCTTAAATACTTAACTTCATTAAGTCTTCAGAGGTATAAATCTGTTTGAGGATGGGTAAAACCAGTTCAAAGTTAAAGTAATTAAGACAGTTAAGCAATTCAAGTAGTTAAAGCCAAGCCTCCTGTTAACATAGCTGTTATCTTGCAGTTCTTTGGAAAACAAAGAAGTCTGTAAGATCAGGTTGTGGGTGTTCCCTGTGGAAATGGAAAGAGATGAAGCAAAAGAAAAGAAACATAAAATGAGGACTACAAAGCCACCTTCCCCGAATCAGAAATAAATACTGGAGGAAAGGTGCACCTAAAGCAGTGACTGGGAGCTTCATACTTCCACCGCTGGTTCAGATTGCAAAGCCTGAGCTTTACTGCTACCTTATACTGGCCTGGAGAAGGGCCAACAAATTTTGACAAGAAGCCAAAGTGAGCCCTTCTATACTGAGTTCCCATGATGTTCACTGACTTCTCATGTTGGTCCCGTGACTTGGCAGGTTACCATTGGGATTGAATTAAAAAAGAGATGAAACAGGATATGTGGGCTTTCTGGCAAATTGTGGTAAAAATGGAAACCAACTGAGGAATAATATTAAGAACAAAGCCCAGCTGAAGAAGTAATGTCAAAGATGGGATTCAGAATTTGGATCTGAGTATAACTGAGGATTACTTTTGAAATGAGGTTGATATTTTTTCTCTATAATCCTGCAAAATCAAATTTTGGTGCTGGTGCTGGCTCCACTACTGTATTAAACAGTGTTGTGCCTAAGGATAGATCTGTTCCTGAAAAGCAGTGGCTCCAGAGAAGGGCTTTATTGTGGACACTCAATACCTCACTGCCCTGTCCAGAGCTGCAGGACCCAAGAAGTCCTTCCCCTTGTCATGGAAGGTGCTGCCACGCAAGGTCCCTGTATTTTGACATATGGCCAGTTTCGAAGGTCTGACAGAAACTGAGAGAATTAATCAAACTGGTAAATGCTGGTTTTCAGATGCGAGCAGGGAGAGGGAAATGCCTAAGTAGGTTGCTGTGCTAAGTAATAGAGTCTACTGTGGTAGACAGTAAATAGAACATTGAAGTGCTGCACTGTGGAGAGCAATGAAAAGTTCAGAAGAGAAGTTTGAAATCAGCAACAGATGGCAAGACCTTTAATATATCTTCCTGTTTCCAAATACTGAATGGAAAAATACTAGGAATGAAAAGTATGCTACCAGAAATGTTTTTTGGCTGCATTTCCCTTTTTAAGCAGACTAATTCTGGTCCTTTGTTAATCTTGCTATTATGCTGTCTGAAATAGTGGTTTTAATTTTTTTAACAGTCTGTACTTACTTGGTATCATAACTTATACATTAAAAGTTTGGTAGTGAAAAGTCCACAGAAGTATGTAGAGTAACTGATAAATTAGTGGCTTCCTAAATGTTTCAGTAATTCTAGACTGTGTTTAAGCACCTTCAAAATTTTAATGATTTTTATTCTTGCTGCTTGAGAGAGATGGAATGCTGGTTTAGACTTTGAAAAAGAGCAGTGATACATTTTAAATCCAGACTACATAGATCTCATCTTCTCATTAAGCAGTATATAATGTCATAGAGTTGCAAATAACATTTTCAAAATGAGATTTTGCTTTGTATGGGCGTCATTTTGGTGGCAAGCCTATGTACGTGTCTAAACAGAGATTCTTTTTTCTTCCACTTTATAGATAAAAACGAGACAGATTTATGGAATGCAAGTTTTAAACCACCTAGTTCATTTTACTTTCTAGTCTTTTAGAGTCACGAAGACTGAAAAGACCTTTGTTTTATCCTCTGAGAAGCTGCAAATGGTAGTTTTAAAGTAGTTGCTGTCCAATTATAGCCTGGTTTTAAGAAAAAATAATTTCTATTAATTGAATTGCTTATCTATGCACTTAAATTATTGTTCATGCCCAGACATTTTCACAGTTTTCACTTTGCAGCTTTGCAATTTGGCCTTAATTTGGTGCTCCATTGCAAACCAGCTACTTCTTTTGCATAGTTTCCATGCAAGTTCTCTTTTACATGGGAATTTTTAACAATAGAATTTGGACGGATTCATCATACCATAATGCAAGATACAGCTGAAACTAAATTGAGAGCATATGAGGGCTTAGCATGGCTTAGAAGTCTTTATTCTTATAAGACTTCAAGTCTGAGCAGCAGATGTGTAGTGGAAGAAGAGCTAAGAGAATTTTAATGACTAAACTGAGGGACAGAGCACAGAGAATTAAAGAGGTTTCCTGTTTTCTTGTATACTCATGTTTTGATGGCTATCAGAATTAATGCAAAGTCTAAATTTTCCAGCAGAAAATGTTGATCTTGCTGTTCGTTTTTATTTGTTGGGTGTTTTTCTCTCTCTCCAGTTTGTTTTGGACAGTGATGACAATAGTCTGTCTCTTTCTGAGCTGCCATGGTAGCTGCTGAATTCAGGGACAATGTTGATAGCAAGCAGCTTTTGCAATAGCCCCTTGAAGGACTAAGTTAAATTTGCCAAACCCACAATCCAGTTGGAAATACAGGGTCAAACTTGCTGTTATTTCAGCCTGTTTTTATAGAAGTATTCTAGGATCCACATGGAAATTGCAGTAAGTCACAGGCATTTTGGTAAGATAAAAGTATTACACAGCCCTGGGAATGAGGATCAATGAGAGATGGGCTCCTACCACACACACATTGCAGCACAAAGTATTCAGCAGCTACTCTTGGAGGTGGAGACACTCTCAACATGAGTTACCTGCAAACATGAAGCAGGCAAGGAGGAAGAGGAGAGGGAAATTCACCTTGGATTTGCCCCTCCACAATAAAGCAGAAGATAAGGCTGGGAAGTGCTGCCATTTCAGATGGCCCGGGGTACTCAGGTGCAGAGCCCTAAGCTTTCTTTTGAGGGAAAAGAGGATACCAAAACCTCTAAGTGGGATCGATCCTCCTACCCTTCTCTGTAAGCTTTTGCCTTTGTGTTCCAGCTATTATACTGGAGGCCTTATTTTTACATCAAACTTGTTTCCCATATTTCTTTGATCAACTCATTAATCTACTTGCTGTCCTCCCCATTGCATCCCTACTTGCTTTGATTTTCTGAGGAAGGAGGTGGAGAGACAGTTTTGGAAAGGGAAGTTTGGCCCAGGCAGCAGGGCTGTCCTGTTAGGGGGTGTGTTGTCTCCCTTTGATTGCAGGGAGGAGGTGAAATGGGGCTGGACAGAAGATGTTGGGGCAGTTCTCAAAAGGAAAGATAAAACCAGACAAGTAGGAAGAGTCATATAGCCTGGAAGTAGGTAGATGCTATAGGAGGAGAGGATTCTGGGGAGAAAATGGTTGGTGTATGTGCCAGGCACAGTGTCAGATATCTGCTGTTGTGACTTTCATTTTGGCAGTGTTGTATCTGTGCTTTCAGCTACAGCAGGCTCATTTAAGCATCTAACATGTTGTAAGTGTGCTGCTAAATGGGTCATCTTGGATGAAAGAACCTTAAAACATTGTCTCAAAGGTCACAAGTTCTTGAAAACCACGGAGAAAATTCTAACCAGAGAGTTGAATTAACTCTTGTGTTTTATTTCATAAACAGTAATGGTCTGTATATAGATGCTTTTACCTGCAGAAGCCCAATGAGTATGAGAACAGCTGGGCAGAATGCCCTGGTTTGTAGAGAAGAGCATGGTTAGAGCACAGCAAAACTGTGATTCTTTGCAGACTCAGAGGGACTGGCAAGAAAATGCTGCACAAAAGCCGGCTCAGGTACCCTAGGGAAAATAATTTTGTTGTCCTTTTATACAGGACAATATTCTGCGAATATTCTGAACACCCTGAGAGCCGAGTGATGAATTCCAAGTGGGTGAGATAAAGCACAGGGCTCTGGGTGAAATGCATTTTTCAGAGGCACTGACTCTGTAGTTGCCTCACGTGCTGGCTCTTCTTGCTCCAGACACTAAGTTTTCCTAGGATATTAAAAAAAAATAAAGTCAATCTTCTGCAAAATTATTTTCTTGTCTTAAAAATTTGAAATTCCTTCCAGACTCTCTGTTGTACGCTGGCTGCAGGCCCAGAAACAACAATATTACATAGCACTACAGGCTGCACCCAGTGCCTGAAACTCACTCAAAACTAAAACTTTATATCATACAAAGAGAAGGTCTAGATTGGGAGCAGATAATAGGGACATGTTCTACAGAGGCAAAATATCCAAAGACAGAGAAGCCTTGAGGGATCACTGGTGCCTCAAAACAAGGCTGTACCTGCAATTAGCCTGGAAATGACCTGGACAGAAAACCTTTACTTTCTGTGGGCTGTCAGAAAGCTTCATGTATCTTGTTATTATATTCCCACACTTTAAATTACTTTACTTGTTGATAGTCTCTTGATTTACATAGGACAAGCACACTATAGCACATTTTACATAGCATGTTATTAAAACCCTCTTGTAGAAGCTATTATTAATTTCTTTGTGTTGTCAGCTCTTGATGCTGAGCCAGTGACATGAACCCTGCGTGCTGTGCAATACTGCAGCCTTTTCACTCGCTTAGGGAAATCATTCCATCCTTTTGGAGCAAGTATCTTATTGGGAGGAAGCATGATGAAGAAGAAAGAGGCCATTGTGAAAAAATATAGAGACAAATCCAGCTAGAAGTATGCCATATTTCCAAGATATGAAAAAGCTGAAAATATACTTGGTCTATGGTATTTCCCTTCTGTCCGCAAGGTCCAGCATTGTCTCTCTTTCCTCACTGGTTCCTTTCTGGCCTTCTTCAACTAGCCTGTGAATCGTGCTGTAATGCTGTTTGCTGCTGCTGAAAGAGTAGAGCTGGGAAGCATCTTCCCATGCCTGGAAGGTTGGCAGGGAAATGGGTTCTGGTTCCTTGTTTTCAAAAAAGCACTTGAGGTTTCGCTCGCTCAGCTTGGTGGCATACAGCTGGAAAATCTGCTCCAGTTGCTCCTTCTCTGTCCCCTCATACACTCTCCAGAACATCAGCTGGAGGTGGCTGACTTTTGACTGGCAGCTGGCACAGCAAGTGGTTAGCAGGGAGAGGAGAGTTGCAGTAACTATCACACACCAGCCTAAAATCTGGGAAGGCAAAAGAAATCAGTTTCAGGTTAAGAAGACCCAAATGAAAATGCTACTTGGATCACGAATGTCTGACAAAGTGACTGCACTTTGTTTGCATTGGGTGCTGGCATTGATGTTAGTGGGACATCCATGTGGGGACTGAGGAGTTAAGTCCATAAGCATAGAGGCATCTCAATTGTGCTCCTTTTGGTGTCTTTTTTGTAAAGGGTAAAGTGTTTTCTAACTCCTGAGAGCATTACATAAAGCTACCAAACAAGAATTACTAATTTTGAATCATGATGAACTACAAAATGAAAAAGAGCAAGTAATTATTATCCCAGACTAACCAACCTTTTAAAATATGACCACTGTTAGATGTTTTGTTCTCTGACTTCTTTTTATTATGAAAAAACCTCCAATACAACAACTACCTTAATTAACCAGCATCACTCAACTTCTTTTTTCTGTAGCAGCTTCAGATTTTGACAAAATTCTGTCAAGAACATTTTGTTAAAAATACCTACTTCCAGAATTACTTCCTCAGCAAGGAGAGTGGAAAAATGTGCTTGAAATTGTTATTGTGGGATGTTCTCCTTTAAAGGAGAGTAGCGGTGTGAACACAGTTTTTTCCTGCCTTGTGTCACTGGCCGAGCCAATAGTTTTACTCCTCTACTCTGCTGCAATGTGTTGGGGAAAAAAAAAAAAAAAGTAACGCATATTTTCAAATAGTGGAAAGAGTTCCAGTGGGGGACAGATATTCTACTTTGAAGGAGAGTTGCATCCTTTCTCATGTGAACTCTTCCACTGCTATTTAAAAAAAAGCCACCACTGGAAATCTGTATTTAGCTGATGGAATATAGAAAGTTTCCTCAGGGAAGTCTGTGAAACAGAGGAGCTTGACAAACAACTATTCTTAGGAACTGGTATGGAAGAACAGTTAGAGCTTTCCTTTATTTTTCCCCAATCACTTTGAACTGACTAACAATTTT